TTACGAGGAACCATGTGATTACTTGTTTATAATATAAGGGGCAAAATGTTTTCTTACTGATCTCGCGCAAAACGGGACGCCATTGTTACCAAACAAACAGAAATTTCTTTACCTTGGCAGCCGTTGCTAAGCGACTTTCAGCCAATCATTTTCAAGTAATTTTGCCCGGGGCAATTACAAAAATTAAGAAAAAATGCCCTCTGTCTTGACCAATCACAATTCAGTAATTTTGCCCCTTTATATAATAATTCCTGTAACGGACTTTTCTCTCCCAGATGGGGCTCATTTATTCCCCGAAGCGACTTTGCATTCCCCAACAGGAACTTCATAATTCCCGTAACAGGCTTTACTCGCCCCAAATGGGGCTCATTTATTCCCGAAAGGCACTTTGTATCCTTCAGATGGAAGAACTACAACTTTTTTGTGTGTGTCCTAGACACTCCCAAAGTGGCCAGGTGGTGATTCTGTCGACACCGAGAAACTTGGGTCGATCTACAACTTCAAACCTTTCAAAACCTTTGACTCGGCTGGACTGACAGGCATTGTGAATGCTGCGGTAAATTGAGAAAATACTTTTTGAGAAACAACAACAACAAAAAAATACAGTAGCCTTGCTGGCAATAAACCTTCTGAGAAAGCGAAAATATATCGCTACGGTTGGTGACGACACCACGCAACGATGCTTGAAACCTTCCTCATTCTGTAGCACATAGCTTTTTCACGGATTTCACAATTTCATTTTCTCGTATTTGATTGGTTTTGAATGTCCCCGGAAATCGGTCGTTTGCCACAACTTAGTATCGATTGTCCTTTCCTCGCATTCGATTGGTTTCATCATTCCCCGGAGGAACGAATTTCCATCCGAGAGTGTTACAGGCCGAGAATTCCTCATGATCATGAGCAAATCCGACATCTTGTCTTATATGAATAAGGAGTCTCGCGTGATACAGCTTAACACTGTGCCCTTACGCAGCAGACATAAACTGCTCAAAATGGTTATTTTGTATTTCAATTTCTTGACTGTGCTTTCCGCCATTCCTTCTCGAGACTGACTGAAGGTAAGAAGTTTAAACTTCGGCCGTAAGGGATTGGAGCCTTTTTGGACTCTTTGTCAATTGACGATCTGGCTTTCAGCCCACAAGGTAAGACATTCATGAACGGATGAATTTTATTTCGAAAGGCGATCCATTATTTTTAAGTTCTTTCCTCAATTTCAATTGCGTCTTGTTGTTAACTTGGCGATTGGCGAGACATCGGCCTTGTAAACGCAGAATAATCTAAGTGAACAACACAAAGGGGCCATGGGACTACGACAATCGTATTTGTCCTTTTCACCTGCCGAATTACCCACGTCCATCCTCGCCTTAAACGAAGATCTTACGAGAATATCTCAGTGGTGCTGTAAAAACTCTCTTTTGATTAATCCGGACAAAACTAAGGTTCTAGCTGTTGGATTACCACAACTTTTAAAGAAACTGTCATCATTCAGTATAACACTTTTTGACAAGGAAATAACACCTGTGCCTGTCGTTAAGGACTTGGGTGTTCTTCTCGACACACACCTCAGTTATAACCAACATATCACTGAGATTGCCTCTAAATGCCTTTTTAAATTGTACCAAATTAACAGAATCAAGCACCTCCTGGATAGGAAAACACTTCTGTTAGTAATAAATTCATTTGTCTTTAGTAAACTCCAATATTGTTCAACTGTCTGGAGTAATACCAGCAGCAGCAATATTGACAAGTTACAAAAAGTCCAAAACTTTGCTGGGCGAATTATTCTGGGACTAAGAAAGTATGACCATATTTCGGATGGGTTGCGATCGTTGAAATGGCTTCCTATTAGAGAGAAACTCATTCTAAATGACGCTACTATGATGCACAAATGTATTAACAAGCTTGTTCCAGACTATCTTGCTGATATGTTTAAATCACGTTCTCAAGTCCATAATAGACAAACTCGATCATCTGGTGCTTTGGATATACCTTTATGTCGCCTGTCAACAGGGCAGCGCTCCTTTGCTTTCAGAGGAGCCAAACTCTGGAACTCCTTGAATGATAACATTAAGTCCTTAAAATGCCCCAGGAATTTTAGACGTCATCTTGCAAATGTTTTATTAAGTTGATATATTATATTATTGATATATATTTTGTAATTATAATATTATTGTATTTACATTCTCAATTAATTTATATATTTGTATTTTTTTTTTTTTATTCTATTGAGCTGAAAAGCCCACTTAGGGAGCATCAATAAAGTGTATGTATGTATATGTAATCAAACGATGAAATGGATCTGTGTAGTCAAGGTTGTTTGAAAGTATTAATTTGCGACAAATATAGTATGACTCGGTTACTTCTCTTACGCAATTAGTTACTCGATTTTATACGTTTACATAGTTTTGATTACATACGAGAGTAAGGGCCTGATTACATGAGCCGGGCTGGCCCGGTTAGCCAGGCTGATTTCTTTTGTTTTGGTGTTCACCAAAGCGTGAAAGCAAAAGAAATCAGCCCGGCTAACCGGGCCAGCCCGGCTCATGTAATCAGGCCCTAAAAGGTACAGCCATCGTAGGGCTCGACACCAACTTTTCAACTTACAAGCTAAGCAAGTGGCTAGTGACATCTTAAATGTTATGACAATTTCAGTTTGTTTACCAGCCAAACTGGCTTGTGGAAATCGAAAACCACCAGCAAAAACTGAATTTATACTAGTCTGTGGCTAGTTGGCTACCGTTTATGTTGAGCCCTGCATCAAATAGGTGTTCAAAGTCAATGTGAAAGAGGCTAATGAATTACATTTATAATCTTTAATATTTTGTGCCTAATTTATCGTTTGCTGGTGAATGGTGATAATGGTGATTTCATATGCTTGTTACACAATTAATCTGGAGCTCCACCAATAAACCAATGAGATTTTTTTTGACAATGACTGAGTTGAGCTATTTGACAAGAGCACATATTTCATCACCATGGTGTATCAAGACACCATTCACATTGTTTTACCGCAGTGACATATTAATAATAATAATAATAAATAATAAATAATTTAGCAATGGATATTCCACTGGGTGGCTCTTCTTGTCCACTGTTTCCAGATCGAATTGGAATTTGGAATGTTGGCTTTTGCAGAGGGAGGAAAACCGGAGGACCCGGAGAAAAACCCTCGGAGCAAGGATGAGAACTAACAACAAACTCAACCCATGTGTGAGGCCAGGTCCGGGAATCAAACCCAGGCCACAGTGCTCTCACCACTGCGCTGTCCCTGCTCCCCCGAAGGACTTTAAATGGATTTTGCCTCGTCACAATTCCTAACGCTACTTCAAACTGGCCATGTTCAGTTGTTACATAACTCCCTGGAGAAGCCTCAACATTTTAATGCAAATTTGCCACATGTAAAGAGTTTATGACTGTCACTTTCTGCATATGCATTGTTTCATGTTTCATGCGCCATTGAACATTTAGGATAGAGCACTTTCATAAATGGCTGCTGGATTAATATTCTTTTGTTTAAATTTAAATTAGCCCTTCTGGCCTCGTTCTCTAGTACAAAATTCAAAAGAATACATTATCTCAAGCGAGGCCAGAAGGGCTAATTTAATTTAAACAAAAGAATATTAATCCGGCAGCCATTTATGAAAGTGGTCTATGAATTGAACTATCGCAGAAATTGAGTTAGAGTGGTTTGCTCTTGAAAAACTTTTGACTGCTCTTGATGTTTACTTCTTTACAAAATTATAACATCTTGATAAATAGTGGTAGAATAGTTGTTTTCACCTAGGGCTAGCTAAACCAAGAAACCTTAATTTCAAAGGAAATATTTATTTAAACCTAAATCTGATGTATGAAATTTGATCTTCCATGGTTCTTCAAAGACTAGATTTTATGATGTGCTTGTTTAAGTCACAACTCAAAGGAAGATTCCATCCATGGTGTCCTACGGGTTGTTTGACAAATGGATAGGGCTATCCATATCCCTTTCAGTGAATAAATATATTTTTTTGCATGAAAAGACAAGATTATATATCGTTACCTGAAGTATGAAATGTATATATTTACCAGGGCAACAAATTGGTACTGCCTTTTATCCTGCCTTCTTGTGTGTTTTTGGTCATAAAGAGATCTTATATGTGTGTGTGTGTTTTTTTAAGAAAACATTCTTCATGGCTTCTGGAGCTGCACTAACAGTCCATTCCACCAAAGAGACAACTAATTATGCACGATTATGCTGGCTTCTGGTGGATGTTGGTTCACACATCCTGAGAGAGACTTTTGACAAGAAGCGTCCGCCAGGAAATCTGGATACAGTCTTGTTAAGTCCTCCAGTTCACAATGCTCTACAACTATTTAGGAATAAAAAGGTTTTGAACCCATCGCAATGGGGCAAACTGTATCCTGCCATCAAATCATCAGTCTCATCGCAGCATTTCGATATCACCCTACTTATGGTTCTACTGAGGAACATTTGTAACCTTGTTACCCCGTCAACTGGCTGGGATACACTTCCTCCTGCAGCAGACACAACCCTCGAGGCTGACATCGTGCGCATCAAGTGTTTCAGAAACACAGTTTATGGTCATGCCACCAAGGCCTCAATTGATGATGCAACATTCAATCAATACTGGATGGACATCCAAGATGCACTAGTGAGACTGGGAGGAGTCGGATATCAGAGTGTTATCAATGATTTGAAAAAGGAAGGCATGGACCCGGAGATTGAGGATCATTACAAAGAGCTGCTCAAACAATGGATAATGGATGAAATGAGCATTAAGGAAAGATTGGATGAAATTGAAGAAAAGCTCTTGAGGAAGATGGCTGAATGTCAAGGATCCATATCAAATCCTCAAAAGAATATAGGAGTTGAAGGTAACCTAGATTAATGTGCTTGAGATTAAATGTTAGACCAGGAAATTATAAAGTAGGATGAAACAAATTGGAAAATAACAACTTCTTATTCTATGAGTATTTTTTAGATGTTTAAGCATTTCTAAAACCAGCTGACATGGAGCAAAATTTCATAGTTTTGATAAGTGCATGAATTTCCCTCCTTCCCCACCTTGAAAATATATGCAGTGATGACATCTACCAATGAATGATGATCAGTTATAGTGGGTCAGGCCCTTACATCTCATAAAGAGTGGGAAATGATTGAAAGGAAGTGGGAACTTTCTTTACTTTGTGACTAGTGGAGCGGTGGGTATACACCCAAGGGGTATTCTCAAGTCATTGCATCCGTTTAAATACCTTTTCCAAACATTTAAGGCAAGTCTGGTATTTACTTTTCAGATGCAGCAACATACACAAACGCACTAAAAGAATCAATCAAAAGCCAAACTGAGTTCCACGCTGTAGCTTCTCCCACGTCGTCCAAGGTAAGAACAGATGATATATTCACAAGGATTCTTATACAACAAGGACGAAAACCGGTAAAAAACCTTGGTATGCATAGAAAGCAACGCCTTCATCAGTACGGTCAAGTAAGTGGAAAGCCAGTCAAACTCTGTCAAGAAATTTTCACTTCTGATACCGATCGTAGAGAGGAAAAGAATCCCAAATCTGTTCTTGTCACCGGAAAAGCAGGAATTGGAAAAACGCTCTTTTGTCAAAAGTTGATGCGAGATTGGGCAGACAACAAATTGTTTCTATCACGAAGAGATTCTCTCTCTCCTGATTTCAAGTTCGCTTACCTGCTGACTTTTCGTCAATTAAATCTACTCAGAGACGATAAATTTACCCTAAAGGAAATCTTCAATTGATCTTCTGCGCTAGACGACCGCTCCACTATTGATGACTCTTTCTTCGAGTACATTGTTGATCATTCTGAGGAGGTTTTGATTATCATCGACGGGTATGACGAGTACGCACAACAACAATTCATCGCAAAGGATTTGGATGACCGATATCCGAATGATGCTCATGAGAAAATGCCAGTAGCAGCTCTGTGTGCCAAGCTACTCAAAGGAAAAATCTTGAAAGGCTCGGTTGTCATGATAACATCGAGACCCGACGAATCGGATGACATAGAAGTCAAAATTGGTTTTGACGGATGCGTTGAAATCACAGGATTTTCCAAGCTACAGGTAAAGGAATACATCGAGAAACATTTCCAAGAAAATGAAGTCATGAAGAATACTGTGATGGATCACATCACAAAGAATGACAATCTTGTCAGCTTTGCCCACATTCCAGTTCTTTGTTTTCTGATGTGTTCGTATTTTGAGTATTTCTTAAAGGAATCGACTAACACTGAATCTCTCCCGGTCAATATGAGTGACATTTATTTTGAAGTGGTTAATATGTTTTTGACAAAACATTGCAAAAAGGGAGGAACCCTTCCCAAAGTAACGTTGGAGAAGTTGTCCAAGTTGGCAGCTAATTTTCTCTTAGAAAATAAATTTCTCTTCTCTGTCGAAGATATGAAGAACTTTACTGTCGAAGAAGTCGAAAATCTGAGAGCGAGCGGCCTCCTTCATTGCGGTCCTATTTTTAGAAAAACATTTTCTGAAACGACGAAGTACTTTTGTTTCACACATTTAACTCTCCACGAATACTTAGCGGCTCAGTGGTTTGTGAAGAGCAAAGAGATCCCTTCCCTTGGAGATGTGTCAGAAATGGTATTCATATTCATGTCCGGCATCTTATCAAAGCAAAACGACAATGCTTTAATGCAAACGTTGATTGAAAGACTCGATCCGCAGCCCTGGAGAAACCTGCTTGCTTTTAAGTGTCTCACAGAGTATCAAGACAAAGAATTTGCTCAAGGGATAGTTAAGACACATTGCAATGCAATCTGGGACCACGAGGGAGACATTAGATTTGAAGAGGTGGTTAACTTGGACTGTACTGCTGTGTCTTTTCTGTTAGATGTCATAAGCTCATTGAATATTGTGGAAACTGCTCGAAAGAATCAAACATCTCTTCAACAGACACGCATGCCGTTGTCACGCGGGTCCCAACTGCCCTTCGGGTTATTTGGGATGCTGGGCTGGAATGTGGTGCAAACCGCAGATACGCCCAAACGGTTAACTCTCGACGGGTGTTTTCTATCTCATGATGGATTACGAAGAATCTGTGAGGCGCTTGAGAATGAGTTTTGTCCCATTACTGGATTAGTTATGACGACATATCCGTCGACTGGTAAATGGATTTACACCATTGTAGAGATGTTACCGCTTTCAAATTTACTTGAACTGCGCTTGTGTCACGCTCGTATCACCGATGATGATGTTGTCAGTCTATGTGAAGCATTGCAGACAGCACCATGTCAAGTCAGCACATTAGATTTGACTGGTAATCAGATCACCGATTCAGGTGTTGTCAGTCTAAGTCAAGCATTACATGCAGTAACATGTCAAATCACCACATTACATCTGAAGGCTAATCAGATCGCCGACGCGGGTGTTTTCAGTTTAAGTCAAGCAGTACAAACAGCAACATGTCAAGTCACCACTTTAGATCTGAGAGGTAATCAGATCACCGATGCTGGTGTTGTCAGGCTATGTCAAGCATTACAGTCAGCAACATGTCAAATCACCACATTAAATCTGAGTGCTAATAAGATCACCGATGCTGGTGCTGTCAGTCTTGGTCAAGCATTACAGACAGCAACATGTCAAGTCACCGCATTAGATCTGAGTTGGAATAAAATCTACGATAATGGGGTTGTCAGTTTACATCAAGCATTGGAATCGGCGAATTCTCCACTCGAGTCGTTAAATTTGGATTACCAAGGTCGGTAAGAGACGCATCAGAAGTCTGTTAAAGACAACCGCATCTTGATCTGGGTGGAAAATTGTTTTGCAGACACACTATGACAATGAGTACAACATAAGTTGTTTACGCATCTAAAAAATTTTGAACAAACAATTCAAACGATGGTGTTAAAGTATAATTAAGAAACGTCATCATGTACTTTGAATCACTAAATATTTCCTAGAATGTATTTTTTAAAGCAACCGTGTAGGATCTATTCACCAGAATTTTTTTGTTTTTTTGTTTTGGTGATATGTTCGTAATGATGGAAAACATGACCTTTTTGGTTGATAGTGACCCCGTCTAAAATACAATTGTTAACTGTCGCTTCTTATTACACCTTGCTCCCACCACATGATATCTACTAAACTGGAACCATCTGACCTATATTCCCTCATCCCAACCCAGTAAGTAAAAGTGTTTCGCTTTCTGTACAGAGCGGGTATAAAAGGCTACGAATGAAAATGTTACTCACTCCAACCGGCAGTTAGTGCACGTCATCTAAGCCCTCCACTTCTCTTATTAAACCGATCATTTATGAGGTAAAGGGTCGGATGAATTATTCTCGAAAATTTTGACATTATGCCTGTGAGCGTCACCCTTGAAAACGTGGTATTATGCCGAAAATTGTAAGCCAAATTTTCCATTATGCTTAAGTTGGTAATTCTGGCCTGACTGATTTTATAAAGCATTATTCGTTCACTTGTGCTAAGAATAATTGATATCCTCGTATTTGTTGATTTGACTACTTGTAAGCTGCCAAATCAATAGATTAAAAAATATTTAATTGATTTGGAAATAGATTTTAAAATCTTTCTTCGAATGAATATTTGACGAGTGGTGAAGTTTATTCAATTGTTTTCTTTTCTAAGAGGAAGCTGTTGCCGAATGCCTAAAACAAAATCAATTCCTATCTTTAACAGTTCACCAAGTGTCATCCAACTCTGCCGAAAAGCAAAAGTGGTCATCGGGATCTGAAGACATATATTCTGCTTTCGAGAATAAGTTGCTAAAATTAAACAGGGACTGACAACGACAAGTAAAGAAAAAGGAAAAAAGGAGTTAGTTGCTATCAAGAAAAAGCACCTCCGACGGGACTCGAACCCGCAATCTTCGGCTATCTGGTGCTCACCCGGCACATCCGATTAGGAGGCCGACGCCTTATCCATTAGGCCACGGAGGCGAGCATATCATGAACGTGTTATATTTGGATTTTAATCCTTGATCCAACAATGAGTGCTGCAAAGCGAATAGCGCGGCTGCTAAGCATCTCGTGATTCCTTTCAACTGTAGACACGAGAAAATGGTGAGTTTACAGAACAAAATTGCCGACTATCGTCTCTTTAGCAATTATTTATGAAATTTTGGTATGGTTTACTTTAGGAGAAGGCTTGAAGGAAATAGCCTTCCTCAAACTAGCCTGAAGGAAACCTGGGTTGTTACTGTGTTCGCGAACGACAGGAATCTGCTGGCGTAGAGATTCAAAACGTTTTTCGGGCTAACAGCAGCTAAACTCTATGCTCTAAATGTGTTTGAGAAACGTGATTTCGATGTTATTAGAATTTTATGTACTAAATAGTACTAGAAATTCGTGTTCTCTCGCACTTTTTGGGAAACGAATATTTGGACCTGCCACAGTCTAGCACTTTCTCCAAAAAATGTGTTCGTTTCTAATCTGACTCAGTAGAGCCTGCCTTAAATTCTAGAGACAAATAGACAATTTTGGGTTTAGTTGTCCTGTTAGTTGTCAAAGAAAGCAGAATGTTAAAGAAAGAATAATTAAGACGCCAAGAATTATGGAGAAAGACCTGCACTTAATTAACATGTTTGTAGCCCTAGTTTGTAAGTCTTGCCTTAAAAATTTAAAGTGACATACATTCAAGACTCTGAATGTTCTTTGTCCTCTCCCAACTGAAAATTGTGGTAGTGATGGTGGTTGTTAATTCAGTGTTATTTAAACTGTTGGCACTGACATTTCTGTACTTGTGTCGTCTGTAACTGAAGGCAGTTCCTTTCCCACATGGCCTGGACAAAATACCTGATGTGCAGGGGTACCTGGTAATCAATTCAGATGGGGCAGTGCTTGCAGTAAGTACAATATTAGATACCCATAAAGTAGTTGATTAACTAGGCATGCCTGATTGGGCAAAAAGCAATCATACAAGGAGTAATGATTACAAAAGCTGACGTTTCGAGCGTTAGCCCTTCGTGGGAGCGAAAGGTCTTGTAGCAGTTTACTAGGAGTAAACTGCTACAAGACTTGAATTGTTCTTCCTTGGTTTACTGGGTTTACAATCCACTCTGGATTTATTTACAACTATAAAAAGGCTTGGTTATAAATTGTCCTCCACTTTTAATTTCTTGATCTCTCTTTTTTATCCTTGACACCTTGTGGGTTATTTAAACAATAGACTGCACTTTCCCAGTGGGTTATTTTGCTGGTAAACTGATAGAAAGTGCAGTCTATTGCTTTTATAAAATAAACCTTAATTTTACTATTGGCTTACTTGTGCGATACACAATAGGTTTTTGACCAATTGGGGTATTGTATCAGTTGTATCATCTCAGTTTTTTTTATGAAAGGCAATTAATGGATAGAAAGAGCCATCTATGACATGTTATTATCCAGCTACACTCCAAAGGGTACAAATAATGAGCAAGACAAGTACAAATATCACGCAGTATTTGTACTTCAGAGAACTGGTTAACAGGTTTTCTCGCATCACGCAAGCAACAAATTGGATTGAAGTTACCAAAAAAAAAAAAAAATGGTGGACAATTGAGATCATTTTTGTGACGAGGAAGAGTCAGAATGGCTGGTGAATATTGATCTAAGTTTATTGGATAAACCGAAGCAGTTAGATGACAATGAAATTTCATCATTTATTGAAATAGAAAGAGCAACATGACAACACCCCAATTCTGTTCTGCGTTGCATACTTCTGTCACGCACTCCCCGTAAATTAATATCCACTAAATTCATCCGCACTGAAATTACAATTTGGCGTGTTGGGTAATAAATAACTTATTAGATATTTTGGTGTGTAGTATTGCTGAGTATTTTTACTCGTTATTTATATTTTGACTCACCCTACGGGCTCGTCAAAATATGGCACAACTCATAAAAGTACTCAGCGATATTACACAACAAAAAGTCTAATAAGATAAACTTTATACTTAACATGGAGTTATTGGTCACTGGATATGAACTCTCAGAATAGAGATGCCAGAATGACATCATACAAAATTAATCCTTGAGCAGAATACTTAATGGACCCAGATGTGATTAGCATGTAACTTCTGCCAATAATGTTCATAATTAAGTTATCTAGCAAACAATTGAAGAGAAGTAGAGAGAAGAATTAACAGTCAGATCTTGGGAGTTCAAGGGTTTTTAACAGGATCATGTGTCAAGTGTAAGTTTAAAAAATCATCTCAGCCCAAGTATAATTATTTTCCTGTTAGTCATCAGGTGATCTTGAAAATGAAGAAAACATTGCTGCTATCGTAACCAGGATGCTTCAAACAGCGACCAAAATACCAATTTCAGGAGATAGAACTCAGACCTTGAAGAGAATGTCAGGTATGCCAGCATAAGATGCGACTACCATAGAAGATAATTATAATATATAACTAGACAATTTTCAAAACTGGATTCAAGAGTAAATTTTTAAGGGCCTTAAGGCTATGTTGTTTTCCTGGATAATTGAAATTTGTTTTGAATCAGATGAAGGGTTTATTAAATAAAGCAATTTTCAGTTGAGACTTGAGAGTAATACAATATTGCTATGTTATCACTTCACTTTGCTCTGTGATTGGTTAAGAAAAGTGATGACATCTCAACCAACCAATCTGATGCAAAAATAAAACCTCATGACAATCTGATGCAAAAACAAAACCTCATGAAAATCTGATGCAAAAATAACACCTCATGACAATCTGATGCAAAAATAAAACCTCGTCATATGTTTTATCGTGCTTCAGGCTTGTCATCACTTCATGTTTTCATTTTTTTCTTGTGTTATTTTCCTTTCTTCTGACTGGTTAGTAGCATTAAAATTATTCTCCATGCTATATTCAGGGCTCTTAAACAGATTCAACTTATGCTCTCATGCTGAAAGTATTATTACTTAATATGCATTTAAGGTTTCTGAATTAAACTGTTGATTTTAAGGTACTTGTTACTGTATCTTCAGCTAAATACCCTTTGAATTAAATTGATTGTTCTTCTAAATATAATTTACCCCTTTTTCTTGTTGTACTTGCTTTGCACACTTTCCAACAGCGGAAATTAATGCTCAGAATAAAGGAATTCACGTGTTAGCTACTTCATTTCCTCACAATTTTTCAGGGGAGCACCCCCCCCCCCCTTAAAACTTCTTTTGAATTTTTTAGAAGGGTGAGGAGCAATTGAGTGGATTGCATTAAAATTGTAATTTATTTTCCTAGTGATTGTAACTAGAAGGAATTAGTGCTCACTACCATTCATGATAGGGGGAGTTTTGCATCCTTTTAAGTCTATTCCACTGTAACAGTGTAGTGGTACATAATTATGTAAAATCTCTAACGTCATTCTAATTCACTTGCAGTGTGCTATAGAGACTTCACATTGATGGCAACTGTATCAAATCAGAAAATATTTGTTGTCAAGAGACCTTTGAAACAGGATAGTGAATAGAAAATAAATTAAATGGTATGAGTAAAATATAAATTCACAGACATTGATCAAATATTAAGTCACCAGTGAATGTGAGTTTCAATTATCTCCTAAGAAATAATGCTTAATCAGGAAACTTCTCCTGTTTAGAAATGTTCATACAATAATTTTGTTGTTGTCTTGATCTTGATTGACAGTGTTGCTTTTTTAGTACTTTTCTTTTTCCTGTTCACACATTGCACTTCATCTGAAAGAACGACTCAGCTTGTTCATGTTAACATACTTAAATCCCTCCCTCTCTTTGAGAAAGGGGCCCTTGTACATCTTACAGTTAGGGTAAAAATACAAAATTATGAAATATTTTCTTACATGGAATGTTATTTGAAATAAACTAAAGGCTATTTAGCAATGTTGACAATAAGTTTGGGTTGGGTTTGAGTCACTTTTCACCAGCTTCAACCCATTCATTCTAAGATCTTAATAGAAATTCTCCTTACTGTCTGCCACACAATTCTTGGGATATTAGTTTGGAGAATTGGGTATTTGATCAACCAGTAATCCCTTTATTGTTATTTTTCGTCTTGGTCACTAATGAGAGTTACAAGGATTGATTGGTGTGTTCAGATCCTTGCTCTTATGGTGCCCAACACACAAATCGCAACACATAACTTTAACCCTTTACACTGTGACATCAGTATGCATATTCTCCATATTGTTCTCTATGCATTTCCAAAGGTGCTGACAAGGAGAATTTGTATGTGTAATCAAATGGCGACGAGTGAAATTAGGAAATAATTTCACGCACGTTTTGTCAAAATTCTTGTAATTTCCTGAGCCTTTAGGTGAGGGAATTATCAGAATTTTGACAAAACATAAGTGAAATTACTTCCTAATTTCACAAGAAAACCATTTGATTACCTTTTAATATCGTGGGTGACAAATTGCGTCTTGTTTACACACGGAGGCTTAAAATCAGTCGAGTACTTTATCCAACTGCTCAGGAAGAATCATCTCCAGGTTTTTCTTAAGGCTATTTTTGTCACACCACTTCTCAAAAACTTGCACCCAGTTAATTGTGCTCTTTCACATATTTAAATTCTTGGCCGCTTCTTTTAATTTCGTAACTTCAAGGGTCACCATCTTAAATCTCGACGCCATATTGGCTCTGATCGAGATACAAGAGATGTTACTATGGCAATTTTGTAATTTCACATGTGAAATTAAAAATTAATGCTGAAATTTCGCACTAAAATTAAGGAGTAATTTGTCTCTATGGTATTAGTTTAACAATCAAGAGCTTCTTAAATTGGTGATCATTTCCTTTATTCTCCTGACCTTAATGTGTGATTCAGGGGTGATATGGTAAGGAGATATTAGATGTTAGTCACTCTTAGAGGTTAAAAAGTTAAGTATAAACTTTATACTTATCTTTAAGATACATGTAAACTCTTATGTAATACAGAATACAGAACTTTATTTTACGTTACACTCCACTTAGCTAAAAGCTACTTTACAGGAAGCCTACAAATAAACATATAACATTGCAAAACAAAAGAAAGATAAAATTTAGCTAACACTCTAAAAATTTTAAAAATATCTAAGCAATCCAATTATTTATGGATCAGTACATGTGTAATTATAAATGGAAATTACAATTTTAAAAAACTACATAACTGTAATGTAAGGTAAGGTGCCTGACAGTGTTACAAAGATTTATTTCCCAGTCTTTTGAGGTTCTCCATTTGGACTTTTAAAAATATGCCTAATATTCATACAGCGATAGTGTTTCCTACTGATTGTTACAATAATTGCAAATATTTATAAATAAGCGACTTTCTCTTTGTGACATCACAGTTGGTGTGGAGTAAATTTTATTTTTGACAGCATATCCACTCCCTTATCATTAAATGCAGTTTTCCCAAATTTGCCACCGACCCAGTGAGGTAATTATTAATACTAAAAAAAACCTTAACAGGTTTTTGATCTTATCTTTCATTTCTTTTTTCCATTACTTGATTATTTCCCTGAAATGAGTTATTTGGTAGCATGCATTTGTTGTATAGTCAACAAAACCATTCAAAAAGTGTGGATTGTTTCCTACATGATAACTTTAAACAGCCAAATTATTATGGATTATTTTCAAACTTAGTATAGCATACTAAAGTCCATTATATATTTAACCCTGATTCTCCCCTAGATGTTACTGAAATATGTCATTCTATAATTTAAGAAGGCATTTGCTTGTAGACAGAAATAAATATGTTTTACACTCTTTTGGATATGCAAAATGAGTGTCCACTTAGAAGCAAAAATGAAAAGACCCCTTCAAAATTTAGAAGTACTAGCCATTGGTTTTGGTAGCTAAGTAAAAGAGTAGGTACATAAAGTGACAAGTTTTAGTTTGAAGAAGGGATCAGTGCCATTGCTTGGAGAACTGAGCAGCAAACTTGCAAGGAGTGCCACCCATTGGGACTTGCCAGAAAAATGCTAAGGAATAACTCTTGTTTTGCATGCTTTCTAAACCATTGCATACCCTGCTATGTTTCTGTACTATGCAAACAGAGGCCTTTCACATCATGCTAAGACTTAATGAATGAATGTATCAAGCTAATGAGATTATACAGTACATCTATATGTTTTGATAGAGAAAGCAAATTCAGCTTACAGATCTTGTTGATGACAAGTAGCATTCAAATTATCTCCATATCTCTCTCAATTATATAATAATTATTAGTTAATAAATATTCAACTAGCACATGCTCCTGTTAATTGTGGCTGAGAATAAATCTGCATCTAAATTATTCCTGTTACAAAAATTTGACAAGAATGTGACACTGTTGTAAATTCTGACGAAGAAGTATTCTGTCTTTCAGATCTTCTTCTCAGGAAATCTTCTTGATCTGATTCACCATGCCAGTTGCACTTCATAAATTTACCAACCTTAAGGAGAAAGAGTACAAATTACTTAAAATAAATCATGTATCTCACAGAGAAAGTTTGGTGATAGTGGTGGTGGTAGGAATGGTGTTGTTATATTTAATATTCATTGATTTATGTGCAATTTTTTCACACTGTCACCTGAGTGTTTCAAGCAATTTATAAAATTTGTCTTTGGCACCAGGGTATTTTCATGCTTATGACACCGTCAAAAAATCCTCTGTGCACAGTGTGATTACCAGTATTTTAACAGGATTCATGCCCTTTTTCTGAAACAAATTTCGAGGACTTTTCCAGGAGAGGTTTTTCCAGGACTCAGATTGATTCTTCCAGGACTCCAAATTCACCTTTAACTCTTTCATTCCCAAGATTTTAAAATCAATTCTCCATATGGTCTCCTTACATTTCTTTTGAGGTGAATTCAGAAAACTTAATTGCTGGATTTAAGCAGATTTCCAGGACTTTCCAGTGGTGGAAAATCTAAAAATAAAATTCTAGGACTTTTGAGGTTCTCCATAATTATGACCTGTATGAACTCTAGAGCAAGTAAGGGAGAAATAGTACTAATGCACCACATACACAAATAAGTGCCACTATTAAAGATTGCCTGGACATTCTCTTGTAAATTCATACCTCATGCAATCCCTCTTGAACTGCTAAGAATTCCACATTGACTGTTAATGACGACCCAGGTGGACAACACCTTTGGATGAAAATACCATGAACATCAAGGGAAATGCCAACAAAAGTGTGGTGAGGGCAACCTGAAAGACTACTCTTACTTAACATACATGTCGTCAGGGCAAACGTCTTTTGGAAGAAGAAATTGAACCGCCGCCCAGTTAGCCCAATGGATAGTGCACTGGACTGTTGTGCAGGAAGTTGAGGGTTCAAGCCCCGGCCAGACCAACACTCAAGGTCTTAAAATAATTGGGAAGAATTTGCTACCTTTCTATAACATTAAGAAATGGGTAGATATTCTAGTCTTCTCGGATAGGGACGAATAAATGGAGGTCCCGTCTCCTGCAGGGTTGGGGGTAGGAGATGTTAATTTCCCACGCACGAGATTACTGTGTGATGGATGTCCTCCTCTGGGGTGGGATGGGTGGGTTTACTGGGCCCGCAGTAATTGG